TCTTTCGATCCCGTTTGAATTGTGCCATGAATTACACATATGATGTTTGTCAATCTTAAAAAATAATTTCCATGTCAAAAAAGTCACAGTTTGTCGTAAAACTGTTGAAATATAAGACTATGAAAAATACGTAACTAGAAAGACTACAAATCCCAGAGTCGCGTAAGTGATGTCACAATTGTTTTCCTCCACCATTCAGATACCTAAGATCAGTGCAATATAGATATAATCTATCTATATGGCGCTGGCTAAGATAAGATAACTTTAACAAGATGCCTGTGTGCTTAGTACCAGGTTGTTATTATACCAGCAATGGGTCTTGCTCGTTCTTTTGCTTCCCGTCTGATGAAACGACCAGGAGTGGCTTGATCAAGTTAGCTACCTAGCTAGTAGCTAGCACGTTAGTTAGCATTACAGCCTTGTCATTTTTATTAGCCTTAACAAGAAGTAACATTAAGTAACCCAAAATGTTAAACAGTAAGAGTAGTAGTCATATTTCGTGAACCCTTTGACTAGTACTGTCACCGGTGTGATCATTCTATAATACACAATTTAAGCCCGGGGGAGAAATGCTAACGCTAACGCTAGCATCGGCGATCTTCTCTACTTCATGCTATCTGCACAAATGGTTGACATTAAACATTAAAACGACCAGGCAGTTCAGAGAGAATCGAAGGCAGGCAGGCAGCTTTGCATGACATTCTTCAGGACGTGTTTCATTGTGGTGATAGTGAGGATAGTCAATCGTTTTGTTGACAAGACAGTAGTGACGGCCATCTTGGTGACGTGTGTTGTTGACCAGAGATGTAGTTCATTGAGCGTTTCACACAAACAAATGTGTTACTTCACAGTTTTACGACACTTTTTTTTTTTTTTTGACTTGCAAAATTATCTTTTAAATTGACAAACATCATATGTGTAATTCGTGGCACAATTCAAACGGGATCGAAAGATAATCTTTCTCTCTCCATTGACTTCAATACATAATTTTTCCGAAATAAGGTCCCATGGAGGTCCACCGGAAGGGGAGGGACTTCGCCACTCTATAGGTTGATAGTAAGTAATAAACTGAGACATAATATATTTTTGTATAATCTAGTGTAATTTTACATATCTAACAAAGGTTATATGTATATTACAAGGTAATATAGGAAAAGCACTCAAGTTGTGGGTGCATTAGCTGATTAACATCAGCTGTTTCATTAATGCCTCACCACATCCATCAGCTGTTTGGGTATCAGCTACATCCAATCATATTCAAGCGATATGAGCTGTCACATTTTACTATGGCTGCTGATTCATGCCAACATAGTTTGCTGTCACAGCTTCCTCCCCCACTACAAAATTAACTGTATAACCACTTGCTGTAAATGAGACACAAAACGAGTCTGTCATGCAAAACAATCTCCCAACAAACCTTCCAATTTAAAACAAATATTGTTGTGTTGACCACATTGCCGTGTCCCGGATCAGATTTGGTGTGAGGAACATTAAAAGCCCTGTCCTAAGATAAGATAAGGGCTTTCCTGGACTCAAACCATCTCGGCTGCCAACAATAAATATAATAATATTAATTAATAATATTAATAAATAAATATAAATAAATATAAATAAGCTATGAAGAAACAGAAAAATAACGGTAATAATAATGAAAGAAGTTAAATTAAATGGGAAATGGATGAATAGGTGAATTAATCATAAAAGGAAGAGATGTGTGTGTGTATATGTACATATGTGTGCATATATATATATATATATATATATAGAGGTATTTATTTATTTGACTATCTATTTATTTACCTATTAAACAATGAAGTATACCTATATTATGAAGCAAATCATGTATAAATACAACGCCATATGCATACATCAAATGTAACTGACACTGTAATCCCCCTACCCCCCACCCTTCATGTTATGTCCTGTCCTACTTGTAATATATGTGAGCCATGTCCTTGTCCGTGTGTTTTTGTCTTTTGAAAATGTTTAATAAAATATAAATGTTAAAAAAGAAAAAGCCCTGTCCTGTGATCCAGTCAGTGTAGTGATTCCTCACCTTGATCTGAGGCGCCAGGCGGAAACAAACAAATTGATCAATTCATTGATTTATCATTAAGTCTTTAAAATGTGTGCAATTTCACCAATGGTACACCTTGAAATTGCTTGTTTTGTTCGACCAACCTTCTAAAACCCCCCGCCCAAAAAATCTATTTGCTTGGATTATAAAAACAGCCCAATTATCCCTTCTGGAGAACACTTTGAAAAATGTGAGCAATTGGTTGGGAGGGCCATTACAATTATCTTCAATTTTTCCATTATATATTTTTTATTTTTTGTCTCATGTCACTGATTTTACATATAATGATATACAACAAAGAGAAATGGAAAAAAGGGAAATTATAAAAGAAAATATAAAATGAGCAAATCTGCAAATCAAAAAGTAGTGAATGTTCTTCTAAATCAACAGATCTACATGTCTTGTTAAAAGTGTATGTACATTTGATATAGTGCCTCGAAGTAGGACAAGGAGACAACATAAATATATAGTAAATAATAAGTGTAGCAAGTTGGTTCCGTGCATGCTTCTCCGTTTAGTCTTTTCACGTCATCATCTCTGCTCATGCATGTGAATCTCATCTGCTGTGCACAACCAGCCGGATATCTTTTGTTTTCACAGATGCGTGTAGCACTCCTTGAGAGGCATATCCTCCTCACACGGTCTGAAGAGGGAAAAAAAGCCCAAGTTTTTTCAACAAACATCTAAATAATAAACACGTTCTGAAAACCCCTTTGCAGGATGCTCTGGCTTCGTCTTTTAACCGCGTGTGCATGTTTTTTAACCTGCCGGTCAGAGAGAGCTGAACCCTGAGTGCAGCAGAAGCTTTTACATTCCACAGCCAGGGAGACATAAGTGTGTCTCCCTCTCTCCTCTCTCCCCCTTCTCTCTCTCTCTCTGCGGGTTGCCATTTCAGGTCTGGCTGCCTCGTCTTTGTCTGTCTGAGTCCATATCTCTCTCCTTGTCACAATTCGCTCTGGCCCCATCTATCTGTGTCGCTCTCCATCTTCTCATCTGCACCCTCATTCCTTTGCTTTCACTCTCTTTGTATTAGCTTCTCCTCTGGCTGCTTCTCACTTTCTTTTCGTGCTCTTTTCGTGCCCCGAATATCCGAGCGCGGCCCTCCTTTCTCTGCGTCTCCGTCTGAGTGGCCCTATTGCTCTGTCTCTGTAGAACAGTGTGCTGGCTGTTAGCGGTGCCCCGACGTCATGGCACATGGCTGCAGTGCCCTGGCTATAAATAACTTGTGGAGCTCAGTCCAAGACAGGACAGAGAGCCAGAGGGAGAGCAATCTGCCGTCTCCCTCAAGAGACGCTCCAAGGAGAAGGCGCAAATAAGAGAGCTTACTCAGAGCAGCCTTCGCCACCGAGACCTTCAATGTACTTGGTGAACAAAGTGGTTCTGAATTCAATTATTTTTTCTAGACAAGAGCAAACGTGTGGTCAGGACGCAGTTCAAGTGCTTGTGCTAATCAAGACTTCAGCTTCAAAAAGGTCTGGTGTCAAATAACAGACATGATTTTCACTGGAGCCACAGGAACAAGTCGTGGTTCCTAAAAAGGATGTCTGCAATCATCTGCATTGATTGCAACCATTGTTCTCCATCTCTGTCATGGTGGTGGATTGTTAATAGTGCAGGGGTTGATTTACACTATTCTGCAGCACTGCTTTTACACTGTGTGGATGACAAGGCAAGGTTATGCATTCATTTTGATGATGATTGCAGGATTACTTCTCTTGTATACTATTTTCATTCTTCTTTTGGATTAAAACACTCTCCGCTTAAACTTTCGGTCAATTTATCTCGATAATCATACTTCGAGAAAAAATCCGAAATATTAATAGTTTTCAGGTTTTCATGTGAGAATTAGATTCTCTTCTTATTTTAAATTAGTTACTGTTGTTGTAGCTTCCATTTCGCCAAGGATCGTGTAGTTATATTATTTTACCACCACAGGTATCTGATGTAGAAGCACAATTAGCTTTTAAAATCCAGGCAGAAGTGCAGGCAAATGTGTATTACCTTAATTATGTGTATTATAGTATGCACCTGCAGTTCTAACCCATTAAGCCAGCTGAACAAATACTTGTTTAAAATGTCCAACCTCTACTACGCCTCCCAAATGAATCCTGTGACTACTTCGCAATGAACACGTTTAATTGCTGGTTATAATAAAAAAGAAAGTTTAGAAATTGGTGAGATTACATTATCGGTATTTTCACATCAAACAAGACTTAATTAGCTCATCATATCAAAATAAGAAGAATTTTCACTTGTTGTTTTTCTGCGTGGAACAACCAGTATGCAAAATGCTGTTTGCGATCCATTTAAAGCTCAATAGGTAATCAATGAGCTCGTCAATGTTGTTCCTCAAGAGGCGGACGCTGCCCTGCACATATTGTTTGTTTTGGAGATTTGCCTTTTGGCTCCAGTCTGTGAACTTGTGGACAGATGCTACTCGATGGAGTCATGATGCCTACGGCGAGCTGTCACTTAAATAACATCACACTGATTCCACTGTTCTTTGTTTTGAGGGTAAAAAGCTGCTGAATGTTTCTTATTATTTCCCTACCATCTCCTCGTTTGTCACTGTCGCGAAAAACTGATTGAGATGTTCCAGTTTGCATTCTTCCCGTGGCCATATGGAATATATAGCGCTGCACATATTGGGAATGCACACTCCATTAGTTATGGTTCTGTTCGCCTGCATTTCTGGCTGTGGGCGCTTTATGGAGACGAAATAAAAGCTTTTTCTCCCACTTTCAGCTTTTCTCTCTGTGTGTCTTTCTTTACTTGAACAATAATGTTTAAATATTTAAAAGCCGGTCTGCTCTTGCACACAACACGGCTCTTTTGACACGAATAAGCTCATGTCTGGTCTGTGAATTACTTCTTTCTTTCAGTCCAGTCTAAATCTAAAGGTGTGTGTTTCTGTTTTTCCCAGGTGACAGTAACCCCAAGGAGAGCAGCCCCTTCATCAACAGCAGCGATGCCGCCGCAGAGAAGAGCCAGCAGTATGACGGCAAGAACATGGCCTTGTTCGAGGTACACACACACACACACACACACACACACATCGATTTGTTAACGCACACAATCAGGCTTGATCGTAAAAAGCAGGAGACACTCAGTCTCACAGTTCAGTGATTGAATGGGGGCCCTGACATCTATTAATGAGGGTAATTACTTTGTGAAGGGCATGTTGGAACCTCAGGTTAATGCTAGCAAATATCACACTGCTACAGGAAAGAAGTACACACACTGCACTAATGTTTTTTACACTCTGTACTCAGAGGAGTTTCTAGACTAAACAAGAAAAACCAAAAAAAATCTGAAAAGACAAATGTAGTTTTCAGGTGGGTCGGTATTTTCAAATGTGGTGTAGCACAGTAGCTGGTTCACATGGCTGAGTGGGTTAACATGTCCAACTGCAAAAAGGTGTAAACTAACAGTCTTTGAGGCTAGAATCTACTAAAAGAACCTGAATGTATCCCTGACTCCAGCCCTCCTGTGTGTGTGTGTGTCTCTGCAGGAGGAGATGGACACCAGCCCCATGGTGTCGTCTCTCCTCAGCAGCCTGGCCAACTACTCCAACCTGCCCCAAGGTAGCAAGGAGCACGAGGAGGCCGAGAACAACGAGGCGGAGTCATCGCGCAAGAAACCTGTCAAGGTATTTGACAGAATTCATGTATAAATACATACAAAAAAGGGCACACAACACTGTGTTTACTTATCCCCTATATATGCTGTAAACAGACAATTCCAGGGTTGTGGTGAAAACACAGCTTTACTTGGTTTATTAAATGGCTATGCAGCAGTGGATTTTGTTGGTACATTTGATTTAAATCCAAAAACGTTTAATTACTATGGATTTGTATAGTCCAAATAATTAAATGTATCTGTGTTTTTTAACTTTCAAATAACTAAATAATACAACCTATAGTCAGAAACCTTAATAATCTAACTGAGTTGTTGCTTGTGTAAACTATGGTGCATTAAAAACAGCATATTTACATTTCATCTTTTCCTTTATCATGTAAATCATATTCTGAGCTCCAATTTACTGTAAACCATGGTGATTTGGGTTTTCTATAGTAGAAACACAACAAATCCTCAAGGTTGTTGAATCTGGATAAAACAATCAGGTGAAAACTGCCTATTTGAACAATGATTATGTTTTATTTCTACTGAACTGAGAAGAGATTGGCCTTAAGTGTGCTGCAATTAAAACAAAAGCACTAATGGGTTATCTGGAGACACCATATATTATACGTAAAAGGGAGGTGTTCTCTAAGATTTATTCAAATTATTGTAACGGCTGAAGTGTTCATCATCTAACACATTTAAATATGTTAAAATGTGAGTCAGACATTCATGCTGCAGCTTTCCAGATATGTTTACGTTGCTGCAAAACACATTTGATACAGTGCCGACTAATTATTTGTCTGACTACAAAACGAAATGTCAAGCTGTCTGCTCAAAAAGGTTTTTGTTTTAAAACATAATTCCTTCTGAAAAAATGACTACAATTAACTTTCACACAGTGTGCATGCATCTCTTTGCTGTAGATGTACCTCTGCTCTAATATTGTGTAATGTGCACCCTGGACAACTTGTTCACCCGAGGAAGGTTTTTATGCTTGTTGCCAGGAGATGGTAATTAATTGTTACCAAATATAGATTTGTACTTTTCCGTTACATCACGAATCCCTAATGGCAGAGTTTATGGTTGTTTTGTTAAAGCACTCACTGGAGAGAAAGTGAAACTTTTAGAACGTGTCAATCATTCTCTGTTGATATTATAAATCCCCTGTTCGTGTTACTGGATTGCATCTTAAATGCCACTCACTAATGACTTCCCTCCACATCATCCCATGGTATTTCTGCTGTTGGGTGTTGAGATGCCAGCAGGAAGGAGTTTACTTCTCCGCTCTTGACAGACAGACAGCCAGCTACATTATAACTCCTGTGGGAAACGGTGGATTTAGCAGCAATGTTCCACTGACGCTGATAATGATGACGATAATGCAAATAATGAAAGAAGACTTGGAAAAAAGAGTCATATCCTAAGATATTGCGAATAAGACTCTGGTCCATGTGAGGTAAAACACAGTTTTGATATTGTGAGTGTCCGCAGCAGTGACAGGTTGACAGCTTGCCTGTGACTTTTGACCCAGTCTGTCTTTTTAGGTGTCCAATCAGCCTGACATTCTTCTGCTTATATATTTGTTTTCTCCTCACATGTGTCAGTCCCTTTTCTGTTTTTTCCATCCACTCAGTGAGGTTTTTCCTTCCTCTTTCTCACCTTGAAGCAAATCATGATGGTGAGCTTGAATACCTCCTGATATACTGTCTATTTTACCCACTGTGAATCACTGTGATGAGTTGATTTACAGCAGATCCTAAGTGGAAACACATTTCCAACTGGAGATAACGATTCTAGGTACAATCAACCACACAGCAGTATTGATGTCTGTGTGTGTTTATCTTTCTACCACAAATTATAATTACAAAAATGCCATGAACAAACAGTTAAATGTAGGGAAATTGTTTTAGAGTGTATCTTAAGGTCCACTTTCTTCCTTCATCTTGACATTGTATTTCAATATTTTTCCACTCATTTCTAGTGGTATTAAGCCATGCAGATCGATTTAGGGTTTTTGCACAGTACAATTCCAATTACTTTTTAAAACATCCCCAGCATCCTCTCTTTCCAGAAACAATTTTCAGTTCAAGATAATCCATAGACAAACATTTTCCACTGGAACTTATTTCTATAAAAAAAATATAAGAAATCAAATTCAAACTAATTTAAACTTCATTTAGTGTGTCTAGATCAGGGATGGGCAACTTTGATGGTGATGGGGGCCACATAATTGATGTACTGGCCACCAGGGGGCCGCAGATTCACTTGGAACACACACAAATTCCATGTATTGTATGTAATTATTAACGAATATACTAAGATATTTCACAATCTTTCAGGGAACATCCTCTAATTAGCTCACTAAACAAATATCACTTCACAGAAATGTTATTTAATTTTTACAAGTGGCATGTTTGTATTGAACAGGTTATTTAACAGTGGAATACAACTATTTTAAACTATTGGAAAGCACGGAAAATGTGTGTGCATTGAGATTAACCATTAAGATGACATAAACATGAAGTCATGAACACTACCCAGACATTAGTTGTCTAACTTGAACCTAGCTAAGACACTTGTAGCCTGTCTCTGCATTCCCCTTATTCCACAATAAGGGGAATGTCAACACAGACACCTGTCAACCTGCACTCTGCTGTTCCTCAGCGCCGGTATTTGAAAACATGTACGCAGCTCGCGACGTAACTAGGAGTCTAGTGGACGGTATCAGTACTACAGGTAAAAAAATATATATATATATATATATATATTTTTTTTTTTACTTGTAGTACTGAAACAAACCCCCGGGCCGCCATTTGCCCATCCCTGGTCTAGATGGTGACAGCAACAACAACAGTATCCACATGGGAGTTGAGCATCGATTCAGAGTGTTTGCTTCTGGTATATCCTCTTGGTATCCATTTGTCCCAGATGTAGGGTGTATTTCTCTGTCTCCCTTCGGCTCGGCTAACCCTGGGAGCTGGTCTAATCTTCCTCCTGTCACCCCAACCCCTTCAATACTTTAATTAGTCTGCACGCTACACCAAGCTGCTGCTTCTCCAATCAGCAGCCCATTCCACAGGCAATCTCTCCATCGCCATGAGAGGCTTTTCATTAAGGCAGCCTGTGGCGTTTTATCGCTCACACAGCGACCCCTCTCTCTCTCCTTCCCTCTCTATTTCTCGCTCCGCTCCCCCTCTCTCGTCCTCGCTCTCCATCTCCTGCATCATCGGTCCTCGGGGTGAGCGAGTGAGTGAGTTGTGAGCGAGGCAGCGGCCTTTCTTTGTCGCAGTGTGAAAGCCAAGATCAGAGATTTGGTTGGCATGTTGCATGAGGGAGCATTCTGGAGGTCGCGCAGGTTCAAATAGAAACCAGTCGCAGCTAATCTCCCAGCGGTTTTCTTCTATTCCCTGACCTTATTCAGTTGGAATCTAACATTAAATGATCTGCAAAGGCTAAAATCCCAAAGTTCCCTTCAGAGGGAGTTTCTCTTCCACACACTTCCTTAATTGCTCCATTGGACTCCTTTTGTTCATTTCCTTAACATAGTGACATTGTATACTTGCATTTCTATTGGCTTGCGCTCCACCACATTGTACATGATAGCCTAAGTGGCGGGACATCTCTAAGCAGTTGACCAATCACAACAGAGCTGTCCAGCTAACCAATCAGAGCAGACTGGGCTCTGGTTTCAGACAGAGGGTGAATTGAGGGGGAAATTAGGTGCTGCAGTATTAGCAAATAAAGCACTTTTTCAACATTAAGTTATGTAAACATGTCACCTTAAAAGTACAAGGTACAAATATAAACCTGAAGATTTGCATAATAGGGCTCCTTGAAAACAAACAGTGCATTACAACAACATTTAGAGCACATGAAATCAATGTTGGATGAAATGGCACACTGAGAACTGACTTTGCATGTTGGCATCGTTTAGTGTTGTTCTGGTGTCTGAACTGCACATTTACTGTTTGATTCCTTTTTACTGCTTTAATCAGAGTCGTTTTTCAGTTGCAGCTTGCTTTCAGTAAAATAGTCTAAAAAAGAAAAACCTTTATGCTATACTGAAATGCACCGAACAGCATACAGACAGAAGCAGCAACTAGCTGGAGCACATAATGCAACCTTTAGTAGCTATATAGGACACCAGATACTTCCCTCTACAAGTGGAGAACACACAGAACTAACAAGAAATTGAATTTTGGACAAACAGTATCTTGTGTTAGATACATGACTCCAAATGAATGCTAATGTGTTATATCTGCTGGATTGGTAAATGGGCAACACAATTCCCAACTTTATAAGATAACACGTCAGTGCTGTTTTTAGCGCGGCCCGCAAGACGTCCAAACAAATCAATAAATGCAGGTTTAGAAACCAAGTAAATCTTTCTAACTAAGATAAAATGTAATTAAGCAGAAAGAAAGGGAAACATAATACACAAGATATACAGTTTCAGGCACAGTTATGTTTCCCAAATGTAATAAAACAATGCAGATGTTGGAGGATAGAAGCTTTATGCGACATTTTCCAAGGGGTGTCCCCAACTAAAGAAACAGTGTCGCCTAATAAATGAGTTCAATGAAACACTAGATCTGTACAACTGAGTTCTTCCAGAAACAGAATTATGTGAAAGCACCACTTTACATGTTGTGTTTACCAGACATGTGCTCATACGTTTCTTGGAAATAAAACGACCAATTAACCTAAGAGGGGTCAGCCTATGTTCAAGACCAGAGGGACCTGCTAATATTCTTAATTATCAGAAAAGTATTTTGAACTTTATTCTATTGATTTGTAAAAAGAGCAGCACTTAAAAATCTCATCCATAAGTAAATGAAAGCCATGAAGAGATGCATAAAAATGAATAATGTGTTCAGTTCAGTTCTCCAGGTTCGCATTAGACATCTGGCAGCCGCGTCCTGAATATGTTGCTGTTGTCTAATGATCTTTATGGGAACACAAGACAAGGGGACTTTTAAAATTGTACGAGATGAAAATTAGATTCTTAAAATCTGGTCTGGAGCT